AATAATGCATACATTTTGTATGGTAAAAAGATTTTTTCTTGTAGATCAAGAGATGCAGTTTATTTTACTAAAATTCTGCGTTTAATTAAAACTTAGGCTGTGGTTTATGTGTTACAAAATCCTGGACATTCGAGAACTTTATTAACAGTCGATTAATTTTTTTATGAAAACAAAATATGAAAATCAGTTAGATAGTAAAAAATGTAGGAAATTAGTAGGTTATGTAAGTTTCTATATCAAGTAATTAGGATAAAAGAATGCAGAATATAATATTTTTTTAAATGTACGTTTCATTATAATGTTTAACCTAAAAAACATTTTCGTTTTACTTTTCAATCTCATAATTCTAACTTTTTATCTGTCTTGATAGCTTCTAAATGTTAAAAAAATAGATAAAAAAAAGTTAAAAAATAAATAGAGTGTTCTAAATGTTAAAAAAATATATGTATTTCACTGTTGTTTCATTCGTTAAAACTACGTGCTGTTAAGAATATTTTATTACATCAATTTTTGGATTTGAAGGAATGAAAATGGATTATGAATCTCATCGTTCATGTCCCAGTAATTGAACTGGGTAGCAGCATGTCTCTTCCATGGATAAATGTAAATATGAGCTAGTTTCCTTAAAAGATCCTTCCTCACCTTCCATAATTAGTCCTCGCGTGCTTTGATAGTATGAATTCAACCCAACCCCATTCATATTTCTTGCAGTACAGGGTGGATACGAGCGCTAAACCCCGTAATAACTCATGTATGACAGAAATAGGAACCGTTTTCCTTTAAAAAGTCCTTTCCGAAGGCATCCTGCAGCATTCCATGCATTTAAGATTTTGGTGATGAGGGGATTGTAATATATTGTATAGGTAGAGCAGTGCTTCTGTAGTGGCTTCCAATAGTTAAGCACACAGTTGAAAATTAGAAATTTTCAAAAGCGTCATTGAATATGAGTATCTGAAAATCTCTGCGGATGCAAACGCCAGCATGCAAATATCATATGTTACAGCCAATAATGAATGATTCAAGAGGAATGGCAAACAGTGAGCACTGGTTTGCTATCGGACGCATTGAAGCAGGACAGCCAATCAAAGATATCTTTCTTTCCTTTGACCTTGATCATTCAATAATTTTTCAAATGTTGAAACAATTCTAAACAAGTCAAAGATTGTCCGGAGGCATGTGAGCTGTCGACCAAGTAAATTACCAACTCTTCCAAAGATGGGTATATTTCTTTAGTAGCCAAATGGAATCGACGAGTGACCTCCACAGCTCCATGGTTGCGACGTCACTTGGTTGAGGCAATATGTTCCAATAAATTGCCTCGAAAGTGTCACATGAAAGGTTTGTGTACTGCTACGTATTAAGTGTTTATGTTTCACTAACCTCTTGATCATGACTGGTTCAGAGTGGCTCAAGGTTTTGTTCATGGAGGGTACAGGTTTGTCTTGGAATCAATTGAAGAATGTAAGGGTCTAAAAAGAGCGAAACACACGGAATCAGGTCCAGAATATCCGCATACAGCACGCGTTCAGAGGTGGCAGTATCGTGATGTAGGCTGGAATTTCAGTGGGATATCACAACCAGCTGAATATCTTTAGAGTCGGTTCTGTGACGGCTGCGTGGTATCGGGATGAAGTCTTGTACCCGATAGTGACTCTGCGTAGCAGTTGGTTCTGACTTCATGAACGGATGATAATACCTGTCCTCAGCCACCATCGTTAATACTATTGGTATCTGAAGTAGCTGGAGGGGATTTCTCATATAGAATGGCCGCCATATTCCTCCGAATTTAATCCGGTTAAAAATCTTTGGGATAGTCTCGGGCCTGCTGTTACTGCATATTTACCATTTTCAGAGTCTCCGGTAGTTAGAAACTCTCCTAATGTAGGAATGTCCAGCATCTGCGATGTTTGATCATCTTATTGAAAGCATGGGCAATGGCAGTTTGAGTGGTCCACATAAGTCCGAAGTTACCACATATCTTATTAATGTAAATTTTGTTTGTTTGTTTTTAGCTTTAAATATCAATTAGTTAAGGACTCATGAGATCATATAATTTACCGAAATCGAATATCCTTTTCTTCCTTAAACATAATTCTTGTTTTCTGTTGTTGTTGTTTCTTATGCTCAGGCCAAGCCCACGAAATGTTTCGTGGCAAGGAGCGCCAGGTTACACTTGCCGTTGGCAACAGTCTTTAGCATCTTTCAGGTGACCGTGCGATTTAGCTCAGTTCCTCCCCCAATTTTGATGGAGAGCACCCCTCCCATCCTCTCTTTCCTTCCACCGAACCACGCGACAGAACTTTCGGCTCGCCGCATATTTAGAGTGCTGCCATGCCGCACCGACACTGTACATTTACAAACATCCATGCCGTCTCTAGGATTCGAACCCTGGCCCTTCGGCATGGCAGTCGGCAACGCTAACTACTATACCGGTTGGGCGGCGCTCTTGTTTTCTTTTGTGTATAAACACTGCTGCCACTTTCTCATGTGCTAGCGTAAGGCAAAGCTTGACATTTCCATTTTTGTTGATTTTTTCTTTCCGTGCATACCTTTTGAAAGCTAGTATATATGCCCTTATGATTTTCTAGCATTCTAACATTTTTATTTAAATAGTATAACGACTGATCCATTTTTAGCAGTGATAACTAGATTTTATTAAAATTATTTTTGTATGTATTCATTGATTATGTATTTTTATAAGACTTGGTCTCCCGGGAACGTCGTAAAATTGTTTTTATTGTGAATTTTTATCCCCTTAATGCCACCTGTTTGCTTCGGGAAATAAAATATACGCAAACTCTACGAGTTATAAAATAAAGTCATTAAAATATGAAAATAGTTTTGCATTAAATTGCGAACTCTAAAAGTACTTAAATTTCATTCACTACCTTCATTGAATTCATAAAACAGTGAGCGAACACTTTAAAGGTATGCCACTGGAAATAAATATTCTCTTTATCTTATAAAATAGCACTGTTCTACATTTAACCACTTGCGCTAAAAAGACGTTCCACGCGCGTCGAGATGCTTTTGTCTCAAACCGCGAGCGACGTGAACACCACTTCGATAGGCATTTATCGCAAAAATGAAAATAACGTGGTGCACACGTCGCCTAACAACGAGATTGTTTATTTCTCGAGTTACAGCTCTGGATTGCACTCGCAGATGCGGAGCAGCGTAAATGAGACACTTTACCGCTTGTTATATTGTAGTGCACGGCACCGCAACCGTGAAGTTAAATCGTAGCTTAAGTGGTTAAAAAGTGCTCTCCTGTAATTCCAGGTACCTATTATAGATTTTACTCTGTCGAAAGCACAAACGGGATATATTTCTCACTCTCTTCCTGGAGTTTTAAGGGATCTGAAGACCTAAACTTACAAGGAATGCACTTCTCTGTGCGCAATCTCATGCTACGACTGGTAGCATATAACTGGCAGTCGAAAGTTCCCGGGCTTGAATCACTCTGAGGGCATAGCTGTTTTTTTTTTTTTTTTTTTTTTTTTTTTTTTTTTTCGTTTTCCTATTCCAGAAAGAACTTAATAACTCTGCCGAAGCGCTCGACTGAAATGTGTTGGATGATAATTTGCCACTACTTGTATTTTAACGACTGAGTCTTGCTTCTCTCCTCAGTCGCTATTAAGGTGGGGGATGTAAAAAATTATCGCCTTTCAATTAAATGTGTTAGGCGATAATTCGTCACCACTTGGATTTGTTTGACTGGGGGGGGGATAATTGTAAAAATGTATCGCCTTCCTCGTGCATTTTTCTCGTGGTGTAACTAGAAGCACGTCCAACTAGCAATCAAAATACACGTGTTTCGAAAGTGTTCCATTTGCATTAAAAACTGTCTAACACAACTTGCTTGCAAAAGGTAATGCTTGCATCAGTAATGCTGCTGCCTGTGAATTATATTATTTGAGATTCCAATTATAGTGTCCTGGTGTGTATTTCGAAATACTGCTCAAAGTTACCATTAGTCTCTTTCGTGTGAGAATACACGAAATAGCTACATAATAGAAAAAGCTGGAATGACATTTAAAAATTGCCTTTTAAAAACTGCCTTTAATTAATCGTACTTGAATAACTGATTTTAGCAAGAGAGTTGTAATTTATCTCTAATAAAAACATCTCTTTGGGTAACAGCAATTTTTCTGATTAAATATATCATTTTTCCGTACTAAAAACTTGATTCTCAAAAATGGTGACTGATGCATTATTTTGTTCGTTAATATATGTTTTGTTTGGGTCTGCGTTTGTTGTTTTACGATTCTTGATGCAAACAATTTCTTTGAAATTCGCATAAACGGAAGTTCGTTTTTCAGTTGTTGCACTATAGAGATCAGTTGAATGCTATTTCCATAATTTTCTCTGTAATGTAATCCGCCTTGATCGGTATAGCGGTTTGTGATGTTGGCTGTCGTATCGTTGAGTCGGGCTCGAATCCCAGAAAAATCAAGGACGTTTTTACGTGTATAGTGTCTGTCCGGCATGGAGATGTTTAAAATACTGGCGAGCCAACAGCTCTCTCAAGAAGTGAAAGAGATGCGGGAAGGAGAAGTTATCTCGAACTGAGGTGAATGAGCTTCGGATCCGACTCCCACAATGTTCTGCATCAAAATTGCATCAGATCTTCACAGTTCAGACTATACGAGTATCTATTTAATTCTACGAATACCTATTTTATTCTACGTGTATCTATTTTAATATAATAATAATACAATAGCTTGCAGGATGGACTCCACAGAAGTGTTATTATTCCTCAAAAGCAGTTACTGAATTTTATGGTTTAAGTGCAAAGAACATGATATTTAATAAATAAAGGTAACACTCAAAACGTTAAAAAAACGCCCCTTTGGACGTAATTTAAAATCTGAAAAATTTCAGTTTTTCTTTTCTTTTTTTTTTTTTTTTTTAATTTTCTTATATTTAAACATGAGTGTATTCTAATTATCGTTATAAATCTAATTTTACAAACATACTTTCTTGTACTTATTTTTCAGAATCTCAACTATTGCTGGTTGGATGCCTCGAGAGGTACAAGGAATGTCTGCTTATAAGTTTATATGTAGCTCAGACGTACCAGTTGCAATATTTGCTCAGAAAGCGAGTAAGTATATGAGCTCTGAAATAAAATTATAATTCCTAAACATGAAATTAGATAACTGTCAATTAATTGTTTGAAAAAGTTTTTGAATTTATTGAAAAATTAGATACTGAGTTTCTTTTCTGACGAAAAGGATGGTAAGAAAAAATGCATATTTTTGTCACTTTAATGGATTTTACTCTTCTTTCAGTTGTAAGAAATTGTTGCCTTTAGTTTTCTCTGAGGTTGAATAAGCATTTCTGTTTATCTATATTTTTTTTTTAGTTTTATTTTCTTTGTTTTTTAAATATACACGATTTTTTTAAATGTTATTGTTTCATTTTGCAGTGTTTACGAGCAGTGATGGAACAGGAGCTATAACGTACAGGTTGAGAACTTGTGATATGAGATATATTTATTTACAAACCAGTGGTCAGATCGCGTTCAAGGATTCTACAAATGAGATCAGTCACTTCGTGTGTTTCAATAAACTTTTAAAGTAAGACGTATTTTGTGTGTATTTGTGAGTTTAAGTAACCTTTCTCAGAATTAAAAAATGAATATTAACAAATAATTTTTACATTATGATCTTTTAATGTAAATTTAAACTAATTTTTCAACTCTTTGGTTAACAAACAGTATGGGGGGAAAAATATCCAAAAGCCATATCTACATCTGTGAGGTTATTATTACTAATTGTTTTAATTTTCTTGTTTTTTATTTCTCATGCTAAAACAACACTTTTAAAGCTATGACGTTTAAAAGATGTAACACAAAATAAAGGTAGGCCCACCAGAGGCCGAGCGTTAAAGTCGCTGAATACTGGTAGTTCGGTCCGAATTTCGAATCTCATGAACGGGCTGGCTGCATGGGCATTTTTGTGGGTTTCCCCGTGTGTAACGTGTAAACGAGCCAGTTATCCTTTTGAAGTCCTCCACGAAGGCATCCCTCTCCTTAGGCAGATAGCTCTCGAGGCTTTACCGTAATCACATAAACTGTTTTGAGGCCTCCAAATTCTGCCTGACGGTGCGCCGGCCCTATTAACAGTCATCACAGTGACTTAAAACCATCGTTTATTCGGTGGTAGGTTCAGACTCAGTACTGTCTTGGACGTTAGATGGTTGCCATCGGAGGTTGTCCTTGGGGGTTTGGCTCCCCTTAGTCAACACTGGAGGATGGTCGATGTGGAACTATGTTCTAAGCTTTTTTCGATGCATGCTAACTGTTCACCATTGTCATTGTGTTGCATTTCCCAGATAAAGTGAAAAAAACAATCGTCCCGTTGGATTGACCAAGGGGATTTATGCCTCCTTGAACGGCCTCTAGTGTTTGGGACGTTTAACTGTGCATGGCAGCTCATATAAGCTGGGTCTGGGTGTCCTTTTCTTCTTGCGATCTGTAGAAAAGAAATACGTGAATTACCGATAATAAACTTTTGAAACTCCTAGAATCATGATAAAAATACTATAGTGGAGCAAATTTCAGAAAATATTTTATTGTTTATGTCAGATTTACTGGCTACATTTTCGCCTTTCTATTGAATCTTATGCAATTAAAGCATGTTTATATCCTTCCTTTTTTGTTGTTGTATTCTGATCAATTATACTCCCCAGAACAGCAAAAACAAAGAAAGGAATTTCTACTATCAGAATCTTTGTGAAATAACCCAAATTTGAAGAACTTGTTTATAGCAATAAAATCTTCAACTTTAGGCATATTTTATATCACTTTAATGTGCCGGAAATTTAACAGTACAGCTTGCGCACTGCAAGATGCACTTCAGTAAAGACACTTTTATTATGCTGAAACGTTTTCATAGTTAAAAAAATAATTCTTTCCAACATTCTTCAAACAGAGTATGTTCATAGCTTTCTTCCTTCCATGGATTCTAATTTTCACATGAATAATTATTTTTTTATTGTTGTTCCATTAATAGGTATGAAATATTCTCCAAATATATCTTCATTTGTCAGTGTATGTGTGCGTTACCTTGTGGCATACGGGGCTATACTTTATAATAACCATAAATGTAAAAAAATGTGAAGTATGCAGCAGAGGTGTCATGTCCTAAAAGCCGCGTATTGGAATTCATGTACGCATCCGAGCCGCATGTTGGAAGTTCAAAAGCCGCAACTAGATTTTTCAAACGCCGCAAATCCATCATTTTAAAAGTAGTGAAACAGGCTTCAAATGGAAAACAGTCATTCAATGATAGTTAACCGTCAAGAAATGCATCTGTCCTTTTTAACTAATCAGCATTTAACTAAGTTTGTGCGAACTGCCCAAACAAATTATCAGCCAAACTTTCGCCACAACTGCTAAGGTCAACAACATTTTGTAAAGCATCAACGAGCAAATTTAACGTTTAAGAATTTTTTTTTTATAAAATTATTTGACAGAATGAGTTAAATATTTTTATCTTTTATTTTCATTTATTTATTTCTTTTATGTTTTAGATCAGTAGTATTAAGTTTCGCAACTAACAAGATATGAAATAAAATAGTTACATGTGGAAATTGATCAGTTTAGTTTACCAATAACCTTGTAAAAAGAAATGAAATAAATTACTTGCTTTCGGACACTGAGTAGTTGTAGCTTACCATATTTAATACATATATTTTATTTGCATACTTGCCTACGAAAGCCACGTTATGGCCATTCTTGCTATACAGCAAAGGAAACTGAGGCTTTTTTAAAATTCGGAACCCTTAGTGATCACCAAGTTTAACGCCTTAGGACAGAAGTTGTCCCGTTTCACCTTGCGTTGCTTCTAACGGAGTTTGAAGCCATTGGTTTGTGCAAACAATTTTCAGTTTTAAGACATACATGTTGCATAATTAAGGTTTTAAGTATTAGCTACTTTCTAACATTTTAAATTTACCAATAGAAGTATTGAAAGATTTTCTTTTATTTATAAGTATTGATTTAAACATAGATATCATTTATCCATTCCATTTGTCTTAGATCAGTGTGTGTTATATACGAAGTAGCTGCATGTAAATCTTCTCAGAACTAGGAAAGCTTCACCAAAGGCAGTATTTTCTGTTGTGTTAATATACACCAAAGCAACAATAAAATAAGATTAAAAAATGTAGCCAAAATGTAACGAAGCTTGTTATTTAATTATAAAAATAATATTTTTTTCTTTTGAGGAATAATTTCTTTCACTTTATGTATATGCTTTGTATTTTCCAAGATTCATTTCTGAAATTTAAAACTGTTCTTGGTATATAAAAGAAGAATGAGTTAGTATTAATGAAAATATTTATTTCCGCTCTTTAAAGTAAATTTATAATAGCCAAAAAAAGGTTTTAGATTTTTTTTTTACCATTACAGTTTGGTCAGTTGTGTTAAAACTTTTCATTTTGTTTCAGCAATAAAGAAGGTAGTGAAGAACTGAAGAAATTCCAGCAACGGTTTGCACCGCAAATTATTGCTTCAAAAATGATGGATGGAAAAAAGAAATCACAGGGTCAAATACCTGAAGGGGAACTAAATGTTGCTTTGTCTATTTTAACTGACTCTTTACCATCATGCTCCAAATCATTAAAATGTAACCAAACTGCCAAAGGAGCTTCTGCTTTAAGTCAACAGTCAACAACTTTCACTGACATAACTGAAAAACCGTCAGGTTCACGTAAAAATTCTTTGGAATCTGAAAAGTTTGCTGAAAACTTATTGTCAGTTCGGTCCAAGAAAAAGTTATCTGTTGAAAGCGTGCTAACTCAGGAAGAAGTTGTTAGAAGTGGTATACATAAACGAGTTGATTCTTCCGCTTCTAGTGTTTATGAATCTTGCCAGAATAAAACAAATATGCCAACGAATAATAATTCATCACCCATCGTCAATGCTATAAATCTCCAAGAACAGCAAGAGGATCAGTATGTACTTAAATCCGAAGGATCAGCGATGTATATAAATTCGTATGAATCTGCCCAAAATGCGATATTAAATAATAGTTTCCGCTATACGAAATCTTCTGTATCTGTGTCTGAATGTTCAACAATGTCGTCCACAACCTCATATGAATCCGCTCAAAATATGGTACTAAATCAAACTTTTAGTGGTATGTCAGCCGAGTTTGCTACCGTGAATCAACAGCGTGAAGGTGAGTTTTATTTTGATAATCTAGCTCATCCTCGTAAGTCTTATTCTGTTCCCAGAAGAAGGCACTCAGATGGACCACTTGCAACCGAGTCAATGAATTTTGAACTAAACAGTGAGTGCTTGAGAAATAATGGAGTTTTTCAGTTTGATGATTTTGTCACGCCTCCTCGAGATCAAATGACTCAAATAAATTTATCAGAATATGTTCCGAATGTTCAACATGAAAAAATGAATAGTTTTTCAAGATCCTACTCCTTGCCGTATCAAACTGGCAGCAGTGAATCTGTGATGCAGAACCTCAAGGGGAATACTGAGAATTATGCAAAATGTAATGAAGAAGATTTTCCGAGCAGTATTGATCACAATACTGCTGCTCTGTTATCTGATGTACTGTTGACATCTCAAAATGGAATGGTAGCTGAAACATTGACTGATAAAATACCTCATTATAATTTTGGAGGATGCTTGCCAAAATTACAGTATCCTAACAACGCTGCGAGCTTAAATAAAATGGCAGCTGCCAATTATGGTTGTCTGGAAACTGCAAATCCGAACAATGATATCACTACACATCATGCGAACTTATATAATGGTGCTCTAGCGTCATCAGATCTTATATTTTATAGCAATGATATGAATGTAAGTATGAATAATGGACTGCATGAGAATGTTGCAGATACGTTAAACGATGTTGATTATCAGTGTTTGACTAGTGTAAATAACCTTCATCTTAGTGGAACTAGGGTAAGCAACTGTCATGACAATGTAAATAATATAAATTCTCATCAAAATGGCTTTAGTGATGGAATCAAACATGATAGTAGAGTTATTGCATTAAACAAATACGATGGTAGAATAAATGGGTTAAACAAATACGATGATAAAATTAATAGGTTGAACAAAGATACCAGCATTAATAGCTTAAGTAGTCATTACGCAAATGACATTCAGAATCTGAATTACGATGAAATTAATTCGAAATACGTGTCGGAAGTCAATCATTCGTTGAATGGGAGAACTTTTGCAGAAGGTTATACAACGGCAACTAAAAGGAAAAAAACTAATCTTACAACGGATTTCTTTGCCTGCATGGATGATGGCAGATCTATTCAAAGATCTGAAGAGCTAGAAAGAGCAGATGTATTGGGAAACATGGATGGTAGCCTCCAGCTATTTTCAGAATATACTGTTGATAAAAAAATGGAGAATACCGACTGGCCTTCTTCTTATGCACCATTACAAACTCATGCAGATACTACTAACGCAGAGGCTGATATTAATGGAGAACTGTTCTATGAACTTGATTTGTTCTTTAAAACCTTAAGCCAGCCTCCAAACGCACAAAGCCACAGTACTGCTAATGATGCATCTAATTTGTGTATCGCGGATTGCGGGTATGCACAGTCTTCATCTCCAGGGGCCAAAAAACATCTGAATACTGTTCAACAATGTACTGATTTTCTTTCATCAGTTGATGAATGGAAGAATGGATTCAAGCAGTGAAAGGTAAATTAATTTTCATAAATGTTTTTCATAAATGTTTAATGCTGCATACATACTGCAGAGAGAAAGGATATTTGAAGAAGAAGCTACTCATTTTTGAATTATTACGCCTTTCCGTGGGAGCCGTTTCCAAATTTTTATTTTGATTAAAGTTTAAAATTATAAAATTATCTTCCTTGCAGATCTAAGAGCAAATGAATTCCGAGCGTAAAAATCCTCAGTTTTCATGTGTCTGAAATAATGCCAATATATGCTAATTGAGATAATTTTGAATTTATACTGAAGTAGAGGGATTCAGGAATGATGTAATTAAATAAAAATCTTTAGGTGATATACATAAATGCGTTGTTGTTTCTGAATTAAATTTTGCTGTAAATATTTTTAATCGAGACTCTATTTTTACCTCTTTGTCTCGACGAAGAAATTTTAAGTAGAAGTTGAAGCGCATGAAGAACTCTTTTAGTCTTTTAAAAATAGCATAGGAGCTAAAATCTGAAGATATTAGAAATAGGTTTAATTTACAAAAATAATGTAATATGCGTTTTAAAGATTATTTTTTGCAATCTTTGATCAGTACCTTCATCTTGAGTTAATCAGAAAGTTCAAGATGGTTGCCTTCCCATAACTATACTCAAAATATAGATGTACGTTTTTGACAACTCTTAGAACTTAATTATAACATTGCGTCGTGAGAAATTTCTGTTTTGTTTGAACGCTAAGAGTTAAAATTGGAAATGAAAATAGAACCTTTTACTTTTTTTTGTTGTTGCTATTGTTGTTTTGTTTTTGAGGTAGAGCATTTGCATAGTTTAGCTTGTAAAACTGTGAGTCTTTCATTACTTGGAATTAGATTCTGGATTATCATTTTTACTCTCTCTCGCTACCATATCATTAAAGATGCTGATTCGTTAGTATTATTACAAAATCTATAGTTCAGTAGAGTGATTAAATTTCAAAATGACGCTTAGTATTTTGAAAGTGTCTGTATAATGTAAAGAGTGGTGCGCGAGTCTGTTTGATCGTTAACAACACTCCTTACTAAAATTTTAGAAAACTTCTGTTAAATGTCCTTATTCATTGCATTGCGATTCGGATTATTTGCAGCTTAATTTTCTTATATTAAGTTCTACAAGGTTAATTGTATTAATTTTTAATGAGAATATGTTAATTTTAATTATTTTAAAGCGATATTTTGTTTCGTAATGGAAATCCTGTTTCTAATCTCGAGGCACAAACTGGAATTAAAATGTTTACACCTCTGATATTGTTTTTAAATCTGAAGTGGTTCTTTTAATACTTCACGTAAATTGTCAAGTATAATTTATTTGATAAATGCCTCGTTTATGAATATATAGTTTTTCAACTTCTCTACTCCTCCCCTTTTTCTGATATTAGTTTAACATTAAGTTTGGAAAGCCTACTTTGTCAGTGTCTGATGGTTGAAGTTTCTTAGTCTTTCATATAATATTAGTGTTTCACAACCTTTTTTGCCCCATGCACCGTTCTTATTACTGTTAGACGATCATCTCTCCCTCCTTCTTTACAAAACTAGAAAAATTCATATTACCTGTTTCAACCAGCGAAAAAAAAAAAAAAAAAAAGCAAATATTAAAATAGGAAAGTTATAAGGATGGAGTATTACCAGTTGCTTCAGTTATTTGAAAGTGAAGTCATGATTTAAAACGTTGGCTGTTATTTAAACCAAATAAGTCAGAAAGTGAGTGAAATATACTGACCTTTAGTGCTGTAGGTTAAGGAAGTTATAACTAATAATCTAAAGCATTTATGATAAAATACACTTGATTTATTTCGAAATGCAAATGAAGGTTAGCATTTTCTTACTCGTATATCAGTGGGATTTCCAGTTTTAAATTTGCATGACTTATTAATGTCTGAGAGTTGTAAGAAAGTAAATAAAATCCTTCAGTTTGGCTTTCTCAATTTTTCTGTACAATATGCAGAAATTGATTATGAAATACATACTATTTAAAACGTAGGTAGTGAAGCGCCGTAGATGGGCAGTTAAAAAATAATAGGGGTGGGGGAGAACGATAATTGGAAGTGGAGTTATTTCAGCTAAACAAATTTGAAGGAAATTTAACGTTTTTCAAATTCATTCGGACTGCAGGAAAGACACCTTACAGAATCACGACCAAGTTCACGTTATAGTATAAGTAATAAAAATTTCACAAGACAGTCAATCCATTTGTTATGGGTTGACTTGCATAACACAAATAAGGTGTAGTGAAGAAGAAAGATTAAAATTATGGTATGTTTTACGTCGGCTACATATAACGAATTGAAATCAAATACACGTCTAAAGACACAAATGATTGCGGTCCATATACCAAATGCAAACTCAACTGTAACAACAATTTAATTTTCAGTACGCTTATGTAAATAATCAAAATGCAGGCACTAATATTGCTTAAACACTTTGTTGATTTATTTTCTGTCTATAGATTGCAAATTTGGTGAAATATCGAGGAAGTGGTTTTTGTAAACACGAGAAGTTATTGTAAATAAAGCGAACTTCGGGGCGAAGGGAGTGAAACTGTTGATGACTTTGTCTAGAATTAAATATTGTTAAAAATTAGCTAGTGAAACTTTCTGTAGACAGCTAGTTAAAATTGTCACGTATAATTTATTGACAGTGCCTCACTTATGAATATGTAGCTTTTGAACTCTCCCCTTTCTCTGAAATAAGTTTAACATTAAGGTTGGATAGCCTACCTTATCAGTGACTGATGGTTAAAGTTTCGCGGTATGATTTGAGGTGCAGAGATCTTTCATATTATATTAGTGGTTTTCAACCTTTTTTGCCTCACGCACCGCCGCTCCATATCTGATGATTATTTATCCGCCTTCTTTCCAAAACTGGAAATATGCATATTGTAACAAATGAATATCGTCGGCAACGCTTTCTACGGACGATATGGAGAAAATACTCAGTTCAACGCACGCGAACTGCAGAAGTGAGCTGTTGTTGTTTGAACTCACGCTCTAAACTTTAAAATTATTTTTAGTGTAACTCCATTTTCTGTTTCATCGTTTTCTGTATGTTAATGTAATGCTATTTAAAATTGACTCCTAATTGATTTTGATTTTTACTCATTAATACAATATTCATTAATTTAACTTTAGATTATTCGCTGTCTTTTGTAAATTAAACAAGAAAAAGTTGATAAATATCAAAACTCTAATAAAACTAGTTTTTTATATTCATAAACTAAAATTAAATACTTAACAGGTAACTAAAAGGCTGACCTCATTCCTCCTAAAACTATGAATTCCCCACTGGTTGAAACCCTCTGCATTATATACATAAACAAATGAATATTTACGATTTCAGGTGTTTTCCTATTTATTTCATTAATAAATAGAAAATCATTTGTACATCTCTGAACATGATAGTACTCTGCATTTAATGATTTATTTTATATGAGCCAAATTTTCAAGTACTAATGTATAATTCTTACTTATTTTGCAGGCATTACATTTTGGGATTAGATATTGTTATCTAGGTACAGAGTTGCAGAAAAATGCTGGAAAATGAGTTCATGCAACTTCAAGCATATCTCTTTGTACTTTATGTACGTCTGTGGGAGTATTTATAATATACCGAATGAATTCTGCATAAAAGTGTGGAAGCAGACTCTTTTGAAATACTTGGTATTCCAAAAATGGTGCTAAAGTGTTTGTTGGTACTTCTCATTATTTGCACACTCATAATACCCATCATAAAAGAAATCGTGCATTGAAAGTCATGGGTATCATTTAGCATAATAAACTGAGTAATCAAAGGCCAATTAATAATAGGCTTTTTTCCTAGGAAAACATTGCCAACTTTAAATTTTATCCCTCTTTCATTCCCTTCAGTGCTTTTATTGTAAATACTTTTTTTCATATTTGTATTATTTATTCATATTTGAATTTCCTGCTGATTTACTAAATTCTAAACATTTAACTATGTTGTTAAAAATAATAAATAAACTCTCTTCCAAGCGTAGGCGACATACGCGGTCACTGACAGGGTCGATTTTAAAAGGGCACCATTGAAGTTGTTTTCCCGAACCATAGGGATATGCTGCTAAGTGGAGGGCTGAGAAGACGAGCTTGAGGTGCGATGTATGAATGCTGACAAGAGCGTGCTGACGCTATTTCTTTCCTTAAAGAGGCAAATGTTTTAGAAGAGAGAAGGATTTGTGTAAGCTGAAACTGGTAAAACTTACTTCAAACCATTTTAGTCACTTTGCAGAAAATAATGTTGCATAAGAATAACAGTGTAATGACCTCATCGACGACGGAATGGTGTTCATTTGTAATAGGTTGCAAATGATAAAAATATTTTACTAGGTTAAATGGACATATAGTTTTTTCCTGGAAATATTAGTATTAGTATGTTTACTTATTGCAAATCATCAAGTGATCATCCCCCTTCATAAATTTACCACTGCCTTGGGTTTGCTGAAAATGTTGGACATGAAACCCCTAACTTACTTACTAAACAGGAAATAAAATCTAAAAACTGAGAGACAGAATCGTTCGTTAAAAATAATTAAAATGGTGAAAAAGAAATTCTTTTCAGGCTTCTTGAAGTTAGCCATTAATCAAAAGTTTTGAGAATAACTATTATATGTAATAATTAACTTACGTTTCGTAAGAATCCACTCATAAGGTCTCACACAATGTAGTATCAAAATGGTGTAGTTGAATTAACATAAATGACTCTGGGGGAAATTATAATTAACACTCTCATCTTCAAACTATTTGAATGTCTAGATCTAAATTATTTCATTAAAGATGAGTCGAAATTTAATTCCACACCTGAATAATTATAATGCTTTTAACATTATTTTTAATTATCACTAATACATAAACATGTATTGTATATGTACATAATGTTTCCATGTGTGTACAACGTTATGCTAAATCATCTTCAGAAAAGAATATTAAGTACAAAAAAAATTAATTAACTAAAGTATTAATTAGTCATTTTCATGCTGTTAAGTGTTATCATCTCGGAAGTTATTTGACAGTAATTCCTTTTTTTATTTATTGTAAAGTTTCATTGTTTAACACAAGCGTTAAAAATAATTAAATCGGATTAATTATTCTAAGAATCGAAGTACGTTATAGCGAAATTTTTCATGGCAACTACCTATGGTAAACAACCGTCTCTGAAAGGGACCAGTATTTCTGAGAGTATAATTGAATAATTAAATTTTTGCCTACCGATTATTTGTATTCTGTAAGATAGCCATTTCCACAGGAGACCAAGATCGTCTGCAGGCGCGGGTAATCGCCTTATTTAGGCAGGTTTTAACTTCAGCTGTTTCAATATTTCTTTTCATTTTTAGAGAACTAAAGTAAAATGTAACTGCTGTTTATTAAAAAAAAAGGTAAAAGAAATGTTGTGGTACTATGAGTGTGGCCTTAAAATTTTCTTTAGAATGTGATGTTTCTAATGTTCCATCTGAAATAGTCATTATTCATTTAACATAGTAAGAAAATATAGTCTCTCGTTAGGATGTATGATGTATGTGAAATAAAAGTATAGCTAGTAAACCTATATTTTTGTCAAAATGCTATCGTTAGCCTAAAGATCTTAAAGCAAAAATTAGCTTTTTAGAAATCTATTTTACATGAGTATTTTAAAGAACGTTAATATTCTAAAATGTTTATAATTTCTCATTTACCCTCAAATGCATTATTTTACCTTCTAAAGCTGCCTGTTAAATGTATTATATATTTTAATACAGACTTACCATAAACATCTTGCATCTATTTTATGAAAAATTTACAGTAAAACTCTCTTTAACGTCCTAAGGAAATGCTTAAAAATTTGCAGATATATTTTATCATCTTAAACCATATTTAGCTTATATTTTTTCCTTAAGAAGGGATATAGGGTGCTAAAATATGTTACTAACTTTCCATCATGTGCAATTTGTGAGACTGTGAACAGATGTTTAATGTAGTGATTGTTGAATGTAAAGATGTTTATGTTTAATATCGAAAATGCAGTAAGTAGTCGTTAGCGTTGCATACATTGAGTAGAACGAGGAACTCTAATAATAATTAATAAAAAACTTATATCGATTTATATTTCCTTTTTCGTCCTTGAAAATTTAATGAGCTTTTAGTACTGTCTGCATTTACTAGTTAATAAAAAGAAATTGGTTGTGTTGCTTTTTTCCCATTTCAGCGTACTACTTAAGCGTATACATTAACGTTATCATCTGAAGTGATTTTAATAGAAAATATCAGTTAAAGAGGAATTTTGCATTTATTCAAATTATTTTGGTATTTTAATTATTGGCTGCCAGAAGTTACGATTAAATTTTTATCAGAATTACATTCAAAATTTATTGAAACGTATTTAAAACAATGTTTTAAGTAAAATTTGATGTTTTCAAACTCTATAAATACATACAGAATTAAAATTTGAAAGCATAAAAGATAAAAGCAAATGGAAAATACTATCTAAGACATAATCTATGAAATGATGAGAAATTTTTGTAATTAGAAGATCAGTTAGTTAAAAGTGGAGAAGATTTACTGTCGGTGTTCGGTAACAGGACGAAACTTGTGTGCTCTGAATTTCTCTGTGAAAAAATTTTCTTTGAATCCTGTAACTATTTATTTAAAAAATATATGCATTTAAATAAACCGCTGAAATAATTCTAGATCTTTAAAATTGCAGTTTAAAACCTTTGTAAAAGAATGCAAATGCGTCTGAATGCATTTCAGATATTTTCATTGTACTGTAGAAAACGGAAGATATTTTTGATAAATGATTATTTAGCTGCAGTCATGGATATGGAATAGGCAGACCCTACTGTAGGACTTCTTAAAGGTATTCATATTTTCAGCTTTCAACTGTACACACACAGTATGAACGTTCAGTAAATAATAAATTAAATTAAGGTTGGATATTTTAATTGACATCGAAGGAATATTTTTGCATTTATGTAACTTTATAATAAGCGACAAATAAAATGCTAGATATTAAAAAATCAATTAATCAAATTTTATTATTTATTGTAGATCTTAAACCATTTAAATCATACATTAACCATCAAAAAGGGGGAAAAAACTTTAACAGTGTATATAGCAATGGACATTTTGAGCTTCTTATTAGTACTAGGAAGTCCCATTAAGTAGTAAAAACAGTCTTTGCTCGCCGTATTTTTAGTGTGTACATATAAAATCATGAAATGCTTGAATTACATTAGTAAAGAGAATTCTTTATCTAGCCAATCATTTATCATATAAATCATTATTTTATTCTAAATTGAGATGTTAATAATAGGGAACTATGTAATGTTGTGGAGTTTCAAACCTGTTATACAGCATGTATGTTTTAGCATGATTTTTATCTAGTCTGAAAAGTTAAAAAAATATGGAAATTTTTATCACTTATACACATTGTTTTTTGCTGAAAAAACAACATTGTTTCTATTGTGAGATGTCTGTGATTTTTTATGTACTTTTTATGTTAATGTTTCTTCATTGAAAGAGCTCTTCATATTGAATATGTATAGCATGGCTCAAATACAAATTTGTTTTTCTGAAAATGTTAAAATAGTATATTATTATATCACTATTGTGCTTATGAAATGTGTGGTAGTTATGTGAAAATGGATATGGTGTTCAAATATAAATATTATTTGTTTCACTTCTCTGGAGTACAAAAGTACTGATTATACTAGTACAAAAATAATTCTGATCATAACAGTATAATGAAGTATATTTTGTAATCGGAATACTAATGAATGTATTGTGAATTATGTATACATTGATATTTATGTTTTGTTGAAAATTGGCTGCTTGTTGTAATGTTATTTTTCGTTTACTGCCATCTTTTACCACCTAAAGGTGCTGAATGATAATTATACTTTTTCAGGACAATTTTTGACTAGTACAAGTGCGTAACTATTTCATATATCCATGACAGCTGACCATTTATTTGCTATTGTCTGAAGGTGCATAGAAACTTTGAACCTGAAGCAAAATTAGAACATTATTGAACATTCTGATCTATGAGCCTTTTGTAAGCACGTGACGTGAAAATTTAAGTAGTAGTAAAATTTGGTGAATACTTATATCGATCAGTATAAAGAATAATCTTTTACAATAGTGTCAATGCAGTATAATTGTGATATTGAAATGTATTGTATTGTAACTATTAAGTGGTAAGATTTGTCTTTAAAGAATGAATGTTTTGAACTGAGCCTACCGCTCTTAGAATGTATATTTTGCCAAGGAAAAAGATACACATATTTTGTAAATTAAATTTAATTGTAAGCAAAATTTTTTGGCAATAAAAATGTTATGAAAATAACAAATTTGAATAAAATGTTGTCAAAACATTCGCGCGTATATAACATATGAAAATACCTAAGCCAAGTGCAAAGTTGTGTCCTGGACACCAGGTATTACAAATGTCTCTTTCTAGCCATTTTTGGTAGTAAAGAAGCAAACTATACATTTTTCTTGATCGTTTTATTCGCGGAACTTAGTAAGGAAAGAATACTTGGGAAGTAATATCACTTAGACTTCACTAGTCCACGTAAATGAATCATTCACATGTTCATTAAATCTTATTAGTACACGAAACTAAAATTGTATTCTTCATTTGTCAAGTCAGTTAAGCTGTTTGTATTTACGATTACGAGGAGGTTTTATGATAGGCAAGAGGAAAGTAACTAATATTATCATAAACTCTGAATGCGCGGTCCTAAAAATAATTCATAAGTCAGTTTTTTTTTAAATTAACTCTCAGCTTAGCCCATATACTCGCCATTTTACGCTATACAAATCACATTACATTTTCTAGTATATATACAAGGAAGAAATTAAATAAAACAAAAGTGCAGTATCATATTCATGACGTCTGTCAACTTCAGTCCCAGATGAAATGTTAACCCTCTAACCGGCATGGACGTATATATACGGCTTAGAATATATATTTCTGTGATATCTGTAAGAACGTATATATATACTTGCATATTAAAATATGTCAAAGAAATTACGGCATTATATTAAAAGTACACAAATCCAGGTATAAAATACCAGGAGAATTTTTACATTAAAATCAAAAAAATAATTTTTTCTCATAGTAGTTTTGGGAAATTTGTGCTTTCGTGAAGTATAATAAATTGAAGGAAAACAAAACGCGAAATATAGTGTTATACAACACTTGGTTTTTTTTTCATTCAGGAAAATTCAAGAAAATTCTGCCGAAATAGGACGCTTTGTTTATTAAAATAGATTTTAAACGATCTGGTTTTCTGGATATAATCCAGAATTTTTATTCATAAAATAAAAATTAAGGGAACATAATCAGCGGTTTCCGAATGTTTGCTGACTATATATAGTATCCATTTAGATTTCTAGAGAATATTAATTGTAAAATCTTTTCAGGTTCTTAGTAAAAATGCACCTTTGGAGAGACTCACATGTGAAATAATTGGTTTGTAACCTTTAAAAAGTACATAAGAACTCTGAATTCTTTGATTTTAAATAAATATATATATATATATATACATATGTATGTTTCTGAAATGCAGTTTTTGGACTCGGTTCTTTATTTAAACCTTCACAAACATGGATATTCTAAAATTAAACACATTTTGTGGGGGAAACGTTTGAAATATACACTGTAAAATACGAATCATACTAAATTTCAAACATATTCGTTTCGTACATGTTCAAATATCGGCAATTATAATGCAAGGGCATATACTACAAATCTTATCTGAGCTAGCAGCAACCTAGTCTCAGAGAGGCAGGACACGCTCTGAACCATCCTTTAAATACTAACGCTCTCTACCTGATTTGCATTCTGGCATGAAAACGGAAACGAAAAGTAACAGTAAAGATCCAAACGTAAAGTAACTGCACATTACGATTGGGAGGGGATTTAGCATAAATGCTTTAGATAAAACCATCTTCAGTATCAGTTAGTATCTTCATTCATTAGAAAATGGTCCTTTTTTGCTTTGTCCTGGAATGATTTTCAGAACGCAATAAAAGTTATTATATGGAATAAGAAAGACTTTATTCAGCTTGCCATCTGTTTACTTCAGTACCACAGAAGGCGACGAACCTAAACTATCTGGCTGACAGCACTGTGCTCTTAAAAGCAGCGTGTTGACAAACATGTTCTGAACTGAATATATTATTAGTTTCTAGGGAATTGTTTTCATATTACAAAAACGACTTTCCTGATAACTGATTAACTCATAGCCGCTGGTTTAGTTTTATGTGATTATGGCAAAGTCTCTAGGGCTATCTGCCTAAGGGAAGGACTTTCTGAGGGAAAGGGGCTTGTACACACGTTACACATGGGGAAAAACACAAAAACGATTATGCAGCCAGCCCATTCACGGGATTCGACATCGGACCAAACTACTAGTGTTCAGCGACTCGACCGCTGGTCGGCAGTAGCCGTTGCATCAAACTTATTTTTTTGTCGCCTATCTTAATTCATTATTTGAACGATTGTGGAAATTTATTTTATGGAATTCTAACAATAATTATTTCGCTAACAAAACTGAAGATTAGCAGAATATCACTTTTTCCAATTGCTTCGTAAGCTACAGGTATGCAAGTACTGTTTGTTTGTCGTTGGAAATTACATATATCTTTTTTCAGATTACAAATTTTTCTACTTCATATTGCGCGTTATTGCAAAAAATATGCTTTTTACATTAATCTTGAATCTTGAATCTTCAGTTTCATTTTTAGTGTCAACTACTAAGAGTTTTTACTAATATCTCTAGTGTGCCTATGGCCTTTCGTAAATTTTAAAAACATTAAAGGTGCATGAGCACCGCGCCCGAAGGCGAAAGTGGTCTGAGTGGCAAGTCATTCAGGAAAGCAAGAGTTGGATCCAATCCAAAATCTACTAATTTTTCTATCAAGATTTTTCGTCGTGGAAATTGTTATGAGTAGGTGCTGGAAGCATATCGTCTCTGGTTCCTAACTTAGCAGCAGATACGAGAGAGGAGAACGAGAATCACGTGATCTAGCATTGCTTCTTCATTGGTAGGAATTTGCATGAGCATAAAATCACTTTCTTTGATGATTAACGAAATTTTGTTAATTAAGTTCTAATTAAATACAATGTAAGTACTGAGGCAGTGCACTTTTGGTAGAAAATTAATTTCGGTCGAGTCGAGCATATATCTTAGAATTTTCTGTATCTTCCGGTAGTTGTAAAAGGGGCGGGAAATCACATGGTCCAATTGAAAGCTTGGAATTGAAGTTTTCCATGAAGTCGAACGATTCACAAAACACAAGTTAAACATATTTGCACAAAGTCCATTCGTTATATAGTCCAATAACGTGCAAAAAATATTTTTTTACAAATTCAAAATGAAATAATAAAAGAAACTAGAAAATATTTACACTATATACACATTCACCATTTCGAGTTATGATGAATGGAGCGTGGTCGTTTGACTTTACTTTCAATTGTAGGGTCGTAGTTTACAAGATTTTTGATGGCTTCATTTTGAGAATTGTTTATACTATTAAAGAAGTTATGCGCAGTGATGAGAATTTGATCTTGAATTTCTGGGATTTTTAAATCTTCGTAGATAATTCTGTTTCTCACAAACCATGGAGCATTTGTTATTGATCGCAAAACTTTATTTTGCAGAACGCTGATTTTCTTTCCGGCTTGTTTTACTTGCAGTAGCCCAGGACGGGACGGCATACAGTAGAATTGGGCGTATGAGGGTCAGATAGAGTGTGCGTTTCGTGCTTAAATTCAGTTTGGAATTTCGCCCTATTAAAGCATAAATTGCCATAAATGCGGCATTTGCTTTGTTTGTAACGTAGTCAATATGTTCTTTGAACGTGAGCTGATTATCTATGTGAACGCCCAGATATTTGTACGAATTTGCAGTTGGGATGGGAATGTTGTTAATTCGAATATCAATTTCCACAGGGAAGAATTTTTTGTACCTTCTGTACAGAACTATGCAACATTTTGCAGGATTTAACTTTATTTTCCAGGTCTTACACCAATTTTCTATAATTTGCACTTGCTGCTTTAGCTTATCAATTGCATGCTGTGGGTTGAGTGAGTTAGTTAAGATGACAGTATCGTCTGCGTATTTAAGTACTTTAGAATTTTCTGGGTTGGGCATGTCGTAAACATATATATTAAAATTTCTCGGAGATAAAACAGAACCTTGAGGCAACCCTCTTTGAATTATTTTCGTAGATGACAAAGTATCTCCGCATCTTACTTGGAAAGATCTTTCTTCTAGGTAAGAAATAAGAAATGAGGAGTTTAAGAAAACTACTTGGTTAGCGAGAATCTGGCTAATTTGTAAATTAGTCCTGCATGCCACACTCGATCGAAAGCTTTTTCGAAATCGAGGTAGCATGCAGCAACTCCATTATTCTTATGAAATTCTCCTGCGATGAATTCTACCAAATTTAAGATTTGATGGGTGGTTGAATGTCCTTCTTTAAATCCGAATTGCTGTTTATCAATATCGTTTATTTGTGCAATATAAGGATTAAGCCTTTCACTTATTATCCTCTCGAAAACTTTGCTGATTGCTGGTAATAAGCTTATCGGACGATAAGAAGTAATTTCCTTCGGGTTTTTTCCTGGTTTGATAAGCATTATGACGATTAAGTGTTTCCACTGTTTGGGAAAATATGTCAGTCTAATGCATGCGTTGAAAAGATTTCTGAGAATGATGATACAATTATTAGGGAGGGCTTGTAGAGCTTCATTATTAATCTTATCGTAGCCTTTCGCTTTTTTCTTTTTGAAGTTTTTGATTATATTTTTAATTTCCGTAGTAGAGGTGAAGTTTACAAAATTAGAGTTTCTTTTTAAGAGAATTTCTTCGACCGTGTTGTTTATTGTGTATTCAAACTCTGCATTTTCTTCTGTGTGCTTTTCGTAGACTTTTTCTAAGTTCGAAGCCATAGCCTCTGCAATTTCTTCTTCCGAGTTTTTAAGTTGGCCTTCATAGTTTACGGGGGTATAGCTGATTTGTTCTTGAAGTGCGGAGTGACCTAGCAATTTTCCAAACTAGGTTGTGGCTGTAAATCCATGTTTTCCATAAGGGAGTCCCAGTTATTCGAGCGGAAATTAATTATTTCCTGAGAGATTTTCCTGTTTAGATAATTTACATGAGCTTTAATTCTAGGACAGCGTGTAAGCTGCCAGCGTTTTCTTATGCCTGTTTCTTTCTTTTATTAGATTGAGAATATTTCTGAGGGAGCTTCTGCGCGATATTGTTTTTAATGGTATAGGTAGCCGTGGAAATAGCATTTTGAATATTCTTGTTAAGCTTACTGATTTCTTTTTCAATATCTTCGGGATTATTTATCCTATTGTTGCATGAAACTTTAATTAGTTCATTTTTATAAATAACCAATTAACTTGTACTCTTGGTTTGATCAGCGGTGGGTAAAACCCGTAAAAGTCAAATTTAATCGGATAGTGATCAGAAGTGAGTTGTTCGATGACTTGCAGATGTGGGGTGGTGTTGATATTTTTGAGATAACTATATCCAAAATAGATGTTCTTCCGTCATAGTGATATCTTGTTGGGATGTCTGGGGCTATAATTCGAATATCAGAGTTATTTGCATAGTTGTTCAAAGATACTACCATTTCTATTGTTTGAGAACGGCAATTCCAATTTGTATGTTTTGCGTTTAAGATCACCCGCAATAACAGTGGGGTATCTAAATAAAATTAGTTAAGGCGTTCAGATCATTGTTGCTGAGAGTGTTGCTTGGAGGATTGTACACCGAAATGAACAGAAAGGGTTCATTGAAACCTGTGTAAATGAGAGCTGCCGTGTTTTCAATATTTCCGGTGTTATGCACATCGAATTTGGTATTCTTAATATGGTTTTTGATGAGTATCGCGGTGCCGCCTCCTCTGTTATGTTGTCTGTCCGTCCTGATAGTGCTATATCCTGGGATTCTAAATCTATTACTGGGAATTAAGTGGGTTTCGTTAATCATCATCACATCAATGTCGTGAGAATTAAGGTAATTGATTAATTCATCTTTTTGTCTGAGAATGCCATTGGCATTAAAGTACGAGACTTTGAGAAAACTTGTTGTAGTTGCAATCAAATTTGGGTTATAGTTTTGAGGCCTAGAATTCATAGTTGAGGTTTGTGAAGTATTCAAATGCAGTCATACCGACTTCTAATTTCTCCATTATTGTTTTTGCAGCCTTGAATTTCTTAAAAAAATCTTTAATTTGAGTGAATTGTTTTTTAATCCATTCGAAGAAGTTAGGTTCGTTAATAGTAAAAGAAAAATATTCAAATTTATATCGGTATTCTATCGGAAATTTGAGTGTTGGTATCGGAAAAACGTTTAATTTTAAACGTTAACATTTTGTAATTCAAAGATATTAACAATTTTATGTATTCAAACTCATTTATTTCATATAATTCTAAGTGACTAAATATGGTTAATGTTGTGTTAAGTAATTTAACACATTTAGTAATTAATTTAGTGATTAATGTTGAATTAACCACTAAATAACTGTCTTATAATTTTATCTAAAACA